GAAGCGAGCCCCTAACTTTCTCTCTGTGATCCCCTAAAAGATTCCTTTAACTCATTCCATGTACATCACCTGGGATCTTGAACAAAGTTTTGCCTATACCGTGGTCCTTTTTCCTCTTCCACACCATGGGGAAGCTACTTACCCAGCCCGCCCAACATTCCACCTCCTCCATGGTAGAAGATGATGCCTCGACGGGGGCTGCAGGACACTGTCTTGGGCTGGAACAGCCTCACAGGGATTGTTCCAAAGTGCAGGTCGGTCACCACCACTTTAGGGTCCTTCTTCTTTGTGAATATTATGGCTTGTGTAAACCGGACAAATCTGGGAAAAGAACAAATTCTCATCTTTTCCAGTATGTTTCCCTGTTGGAGACAAGAGGAAGAAAGTGACGTGAAGGGGAGGTTAGGTTCTGGAAGGCAGGTCTCAGATCACAACTGCTAAAGCTTCTCATGTTTCTCTTCTACTTCCTTTCTATATAGTCTGCTCATTTTATTTCTGTGGGCTCTGGGTTGTGTTCATGTAGAAAACTGAGCTCTTATATTTATGCCCTCCAAGGCACATGTTGAAATTTTTTTCCTAACATAACAGTACTGAGAGGTGAATCTTTACCTAGGTGATTTGGCAATTTCCCAGATGAATGGATTCTGTTCACTATGCTGGGAGTAGGTCAGTTATCTCTGGATTGGGATCCTGATGATAGAATGAGTTCTGCCCAATTGCAAACACATGTAAACTAGCCTTTCTGCCAAAGGATGAAGAAAGGTGCCATGCTAAACCCACTGCTGGTGCCATGCTCCTGGCCCTTCCCACTTCCACAACTTTGAGCCAAACGAATCCTCCTGTTTACAAATTGCCTGCTCTGTGGTATTCTTAGAGCCTTATAAGGGGTGATTTGTCAAAGTGGCAGCTGAGTTTGTGTTAGAGTGGGAAAAGTACACCGAAGTGAAGAAAGTCAATCGTCCAAGGCATCCCTCTGCTGTCCTTGCTCTCTTTGGTGCTCTTCTGGGCTCTCCCCAGCCAGAAACAGCAAAGCTGCTTGGTGGCCGGTCTCAACACTCATCGCTGCACACCCAGAGCTCTGCGATGGTGGATCCTGAGGCTGTGTTTGTGTTCAGCAGAAAAGAGCAATGTGGTCATTTTGGGACTGGGTTGTGAGCAGAGGAGGGCTTGTAGTAGTGGCAAAAGACTACATATGGGGGGGGATTAAAGTATAATATGTGCATACATTCTTAAAGTTTTATCACAGTGAAGGCACAATGCCCTTAACTCCCTTCAAAGTATCTACTCTCACTTTACATTTACCCTAGCACGCTTGCCTCTTTCTGAACCAGTTCTTGAAGTATCTTTCAGGGGTGTCTTCAGTTTCACTGTTGTGTTTGCCTAGGTTTCCTGAGTTGATTCAAAATGTTTCCCTGTCCTGGTCCTTCTCACCTTGGGGAGGAGCCAGAAGTCCCATAGTGCCATCCAGTGCATAAGACAGATGAAGACACTCCCCTCACATTTCATGTGCCTGTCTATCTGTTGGATGGCACTGGACAGCAGCATTCACTGTATTTTTGATCACCC